CTTAGGTTTAGGAATAAAAATCCAGATCATCTCTTGTTTGTAGGGTATACTTTGGACCTATAAATTGCCACTGGAAGCTTTCATTTCGAAGACTAAGACTATAAATTGTGTATCCTAAACCAAGGTATTCATCTATTGTGAGATCATCAGCTTTGGACATCACCATTTGCGACCAAGGTTTAGGAGCTTTGTGCAGCTGATATGGTTATGAGTGGATGGCTTGCAGACTTCGTAGTAATCTGCGTCTTCGATCTTAATGTTGTTGTTGTTGTTGAAGCTTAACCGCATTGCGCAAGCGTTTAGGGTACGACCAGCACCTGTGCTTCCAACATTGAAATGCATATTATAAAACGTGTGATAAGGAGGCGTCAGGACCCGGTCTGAGAAAATGTGGAGCAAATACGAAGGACTCACGCTCCGATAGACATTTCCCAATCCCCCACCCGTCCCTCCACCCTGCTCCGCAATTCACACCCAATTGGGCATTGCAGTGCCAATAGCCATACGCTGCATTCATTCCTCGTCTCATGCCGTCGTGTTCATTGCCATCAACGCCAGCCACCATCCCTGTCGTTACGTTGGCCGATTCCTTTATGCTTGCCAACCTCCTAAAGTTACTTCGTGCCAGGTCCTAGAAAGGAGCAATGGTAGCAAGAAAAGGCGGCCAATTCCAATTGCCGGCCATGCAATTCTAATTGGCAGACATGCATTGAGCTGTTGGCAGCCGATTCCAATTGAACCTGCTCTTTGAAGCCAATTCCAACTGGACCTGCTCTTGGCAGCCGATTCCAATTGAACCTGCTCATGGAAGCCAATTCCAACTGGACCTGCTCTTGGCAGCCGATTCCAATTGAACCTGCTCTTGGCAGCCAATTCCAACTGGACCTGCTCTTGGCAGCCAATTCCAACTGAACTTGCTCTTGGCTGCCGATTCCAATTGAACCTACTCTTGGCAGCCAATTCCAACTGGACCTGCTCTTGGCAGCCAATTCCAATTGAACCTGCTCTTGGCAGCCAATTCCAACTGGACCTGCTCTTGGCAGCCGATTCCAACAAGACCTACTCTCGGCACCCGATTCCAATTGAACTTGCTCTTGGCAGACAATTCCGACTAGACCTGCTCTCGGTAGCCGATTCCAATTGAACCTGCTCTTGGCAGCCAATTCCAACTGGACCTGCTCTTGGCAGCCGATTCCAATTGAACCTGCTCTTGGCAGCCAATTCCAACTGGACCTGCTCTCGGCAGTCAATTCCAATTGAACCTGCTTTGAGTATTATCAACGTTGGCATCAACTTCAAATGTTCCAAATGTCGCCGATGTGCCGACACCGCCGACATCTGCTTTGTCCCCTAGCCCCTGAGCTTGCGCCGCTTGCTGTAGCGTCGCTTGCAACATCCCACATTACCCTCATGACATCGACTTGCTTGCAAATGACCCTGCATTTGCCCCCATTCCTGAACCGACCCAGGCGATGGCGGATGCGACTTCGAGGGAGACAACGGAGGGCTCAACAACACAGCGTATTGCTTGTACTTGACTACCGTCGACCAGGTTTAGGGTTTAGGGTTTAGGGTTTAGGGTTTAGGGTTTAGGGTTTAGGGTTTAGGGTTTAGGGTTTAGGGTTTAGGGTTTAGGGTTTAGGGTTTAGGGTTTAGGGTTTAGGGTTTAGGGTTTAGGGTTTAGGGTTTAGGGTTTAGGGTTTAGGGTTTAGGGTTTAGGGTTTAGGGTTTAGACCTCCCGTCGTCACTGCTTGTGTTTAGGGTTTAGGGTTTAGGGTTTAGGGTTTAGGGTTTAGGGTTTAGGGTTTAGGTTTAGGGTTGATTATTTTACCCATCTTTGCACGGTTGCATCTAGTATCGAGCCGGATGCAGCCAACACTCGAACACTCTGTGCGTGAACTTGCATGCATCGCCTCTCTGAGAGCTTTCCTTCGAAAAGTCCAAGTATGCCGTCCCCGAGTAGTGGTACTGCCGCGGATCGCAATGCTTAGCTTTGTCGCCTGGGTGGACAAACGGGCACTCCGTTCAATCATGGATCCTCCCCCTCGTCCATCGCTTTACCTTGAATTCAAACATCCACAACTGATCGATCCATATATGTCCACCACCGGCTATGCCTCCTCGTCCTTGTTGTTCGACGGCAGAAACTTATTGAATAGTGCATAAAAAAGTGTCGGTGACCCCAGTGACAATTCCCCGGCTTCCAGCGATGACGCCGACCTCAAGCTCAACCCTCGTAGGGCCGCTTCACCCGCTCCACTTCTCGCTTCCCGCTCCCCGCCTCAATCAACGATTCCTTATCCAGAATCGAAAACCCTGAGAACTCACCCCTCGACACCGGCAAGCTCGACGGGCACAAAAAGAAATTATTGAATGCGTGCAACTGCGCGCTCTTCCTGCCCCTCAAGTTGTGGCTCCTCTGATACATCCCACCCAATGCGCTATCTCCAAGCACCTCATCGACAGGACCCCGACCCTCAGCTTTCCTGACTCACATTTCGAAGGTTACAAATTGTGTCATCCTTTCTTGTGTTCGGTGTGAGAAGCATGCAGCATCTTCCTTCGTTGCATGTCATGCATGCAGGTGGATGCTTTCCATTTTATGATTATTTTCCATCTCCATGATATTAGACTAGAAACTTTTTCACCGGGATATGGTTTTCTACAGAGTCGAGTTATGGAAATCAATTGGAGTTCTAGTGGGAGGACTTGATTCTCATGTTGGCCGGACTACATTAGAATAGATTACATCGGGTGTAATCATAGAATCGTATGGTATGACATCTGTTCAACCTTGGTCATCTCATTGAGCCTAGTATATAATCCGTCGACCTCCGCCAATTGGGAACCATACATACACACACTCACACACACACACACACACATGGAAGCATGTAGAGTTTTAGACACAGGTTGACATGTTATGCAGGTGGTGGAGTAGACAAGAATTGACCTAATAAGGAACATGCGAAGCGATGTAACGTCCCTCTGTCTCAAGCTCCTATTTCAACCTAAAACACAACAAAGGAACACAATCACTCACCGTAGAAAACACACACACACAAACACACAAAAAGTAAATAAATAAAACAGAAACAAAAATAATAAAAAACAAAAAACAAAAACAATGCAAATCG